ATTTGACTCTATATTTACTCTGTAGCATTGATTTCTGTGGTGGGGTCACTGGGACAGCGTGAAAACTGGTGTGGAAAGAGACTGCACATAATTTAAAATGGTGATTTGTTTTTTGTTGAAATGAAACACTGACAATTTTAGAATGCTCAACAACCCTATAACCCCAGTGGATAATTCAGGGAAGAAAAAAAGATATCTTTAGATTTTCTGAGACCCTGCTTCTGCTTGCATTGCATGCAATGAACACTCTGCCATTGGCTTCAGTGGGAGCAGGACCTGGCCTCTGAGCCAGCTCATACTGCAAACCCTGGTGCATGTAAGTACCCTTACTGATTTTTTCCCTTATTAAATTCTATAGCACTTTCTGGTGAGGCCCTGAATCCTTGCATGTGTGTGCCAATGCAGGCTGAGCTCATTCAGTGTCATTTTGCTGAGGGTGCACCTTTTTGCAAGGCATTATTAAGCCCCAGGAGCCTTTCCAAACACCAGCAAAAGCAATCAGCCAGCCATGTGTATTGTTGTTGTACTAACTGGTGGGGAGATTTGGGGAGGAATCTTTCACCTTGGTGCACTCAGCTGTTTGCTGCTCCAGCTGTGTCTGAGGCAGCACTGAGGTAGGAAGGATTGGGACTCAGAACACCACCAGAGATTGCTTTGGCAAAGGGGAAAGCAGGAGCACCACCCCAGAATGAAGTGATATGAGGGCGTAGCTCCTGTGATTTGCAGCTGGCAGCACCAAAGCTAATGGGAAAAAACTGGGCCCCAGCCAATTCCGTGTAATGAGTTAGTGCTTCCAGAATGGGTCTGTATGATGAAAGGCATGATAATCCCTGCTGAAGTAAGGGGAATATTTTAAGCAGGCGATGGCTATAAAGCACTTTGAAGATGTTACGTGCTATGTGTTGTTATTATTATTTATTTATTCATGCCCCTGATTAAAGAAGGTGCTTAAGAATGTGCAGAAGTCCTATTGACTGAATTGGGGAGGGGGTCATAGAGAGTAAGTGCTAGGCCAGTTTTATGTTGCAGTTTCAGTGGCTGAATTGGGGAGCGGGTCAGAGAGAGTAAGTGCTAGGCCAGTTTTATGTTGCAGCAGAAGGACTGAAAGACATAGGACAGAGCTATAGAGGGAAGGCCAGGAGTAGAAGAGTTTGAGGTAATGCCAGGCAGCAGTGAAGGGGCCATAGATCAGGAGTGTGATTCCTTGGCAGACCCGTGCTGATGGAGGATGTGTGGAAGGTGTAACAGGGTTGCTGCAGATCTTAACTGAGGTGAAATGCCAGAGCATTTAATTCTTTAGAACGGGAACAGAAGGTTTACTGCAAGTCAAGCTTGAAGTGCATGTAAGGAAGATGCTACAGCACCTGCCATGCCATGTCCCCATTGCCATCAGTTATTCCCATTCATTTGTTCATCCATTTCCTCCATAATGAATATAGATAAATGGTCTGGCATCTAATTCTGAAAACACCTTTCAGCCCTCTGAATTTTTGACTGTACACACCATTTCAAACACTGATCTCCTTTTCTAGGACTATCTCCTGCTCTCCTAAATGTTGATGTTTTGGGGGTTAGAAAGTTAAATAGCAAAGTTTCATGAACACTGTTATGGATCGCCATGCTAATGAATGGTAATGTCCTCAGGGCAGTCAAGCCATACAAGAATGGTATTTCTTGTAATAAATATTGAAGGAAGACTGGAGGGCTATGTCTACACTGGCATGCTTTTCCGAAAATGCTTTTAATGGAAAAGTTTTCCGTTAAAAGCATTTTCAGAAAAATTACGTCTAGATTGGCAGGATGCTTTTCCGCAAAAGCACTTTTTGCGGAAAAGCGTCCGTGGCCAATCTAGACGCGGTTTTCCACAAAAAAGCCCTGATCGCCATTTTCGCGATCAGGGCTTTTTTGCGGAAAACAGTACTATGCTGTCTACACTGTCCCTTTTGCGCAAAAGTCTTTCGAAAAAAGACTTTTGCCCAAACGGGAGCAGCATAGTATTTCTGGAAAAGCACTGATGATTTTACAGGAGATCGTCAGTGCTTTTCCGGAAATTCAAGCGGCCAGTGTAGACAGCTGGCAAGCTTTTCCGCTAAATCAGATGATTTTGCAGAAAAACTTTCCAGTCTAGACACAGCCGAGATGTATAGATGGATAAGCACTTGTAGCACATATGGCTAAATTTTGGCTCTGAAAAATCCTTCATATGCTGGGGATGGTGATGATGTAAAAGGTCAGGATTGGGCCCAAGCACTGCATAGGCAACATATAGCACATTTAAAATGCAAAGCATGGAGAAAAAAAATAAAGCAGAATAGAAAATTCAAAAGATTTTATCACCGTATGGAGTAATTAAGGACATACTCAGAATTGTATCTAATCCTGATTATCTTATTAATTACTTACACATTTTATTTCTGTGGCACCCACCTGCCTCTCCTGTGAACCACATTAGTAATATAAATGTAAATGACTATTACATGAAACAAAGAAGCAGCAAACAACAACTAACTCTTGCCTAAATTATGCTTCCCTCCCATTATTATTATTATTTTGGAATTACAAAACCTTGGAGATGTTTTTTGAAATAGAAATTCTATTATTTCTGTGTTTCCCCATCAAATTACACACACTCCAACATGATTATAGATAAAAGCAGCATGTGAAAACCATTCTTCTTTTCAGATGCAATCCACACTCTATCCTTGCTGTGGGCAAAATATTTATTTTGGCAAAAAATATATTGTCTGATAGGGAGATAATAGAAGAGGCAGCATGGTCAGTAAGGCTGCGTCTATACTGGCATGATTTTTGCAGAAATACTTTTAACGGAAAAGTTTTTCCATTAAACGTATTTCCGCAAAAGCGCGTCTAGATTGACACGGATGCTTTTGCGCAAAAAGTGCTTTTGCGCAAAAGCATCCGTGGCCAGTCTAGATGCGATTTTGCGCAAGAAAACCCTGATCGCCATTTTAGTCATCGGGGCTTTTTTGCACAAAACAGTTCTTCCCTGTCTACACTGGCCTCTTGGGCAAGTATTCTTGTGCAAGAGGGCTTTTTCCCGAGCGGGAGCGTGAAAGTATTTGCGCAAGAAGCACTGATTTTGTACATTACAAAGTCAGTGTTCTTGCGCAAATTCAAGCGGCCAGTGTAGACAGCTGGCAAGTTTTTGCGCAAAAGCAAGTACTTTTGCGCAAAGTCTTGCCAGTCTAGATGCACCCTAAGAGATTGGTCTCAAATGAGACTTGTGATGAATATGGATGTAACATGTAGTTATTTACGTAATTAACCAATAAGCCTGTATCAAGGCTCAAGGGGGAATCAGAGGGAAGCCAGAAGCTGGTGCTTAGGGGGAGGCAGCTTAAAAGCCGGCTTTCTGTGCATGCTGGCTCCTGCGGAGTCACCTCCCCTGCCCCTGCAGCATCCCACAGGGGCAGTAGTGGGGGAGGAAACTAGGACCTGGTGGTTGCGGGGAGGCAGCTTAAAAGTCAACTACCCACAAGCACCAGCTCCCTCAGAGCCACTTGCCTGTCTGAGAGATGCAGCAGCATAGGGTAAGGGGGAGGTCAGGTAGGAGCTGGTACATGTGGGAAGTGGCTTTCAAGCTAGCTCCCTGCATATATAGGCTCCCACGGAGCCACCTGCTCTCTGTGCTGTTGCCACTTTATCAGAGGCAGTAAGAGACAACCAGGAGCAGGTGCTTGCATGGAGCTGGTTTAAAAGCTGGCTCCCTGCTAGCACTGGTCCCCACATGCTCACCTGTGTGTAAATGTGTAACTACTAAAAATCCAGCAGTTAAACATTTAAACAAATACATGTTAGTTAACATCCCTAGTGATAAGCTAGGTCAGAAATGGTATTCCTATCTTGCAATTTTTTTGTGATTTTAAAAACATTTTGCTAGCCTGAAGAAGGAAAACAGGTGGTATTAGTGAATAATATTTTTTTAAAAAAATATTTATTTTATTTCAGTTTTGAAATCTGGCTTTCCTTTACATAATTTTAGTCTACATTTATTAACATTTCAAAATGAAAATGCATGTTGATTCAAAAACCTGAAACTTTTCTTTGTGGAAAAGTTTAATCCAGGACATTTTAACAATTTTGAAACTTTTCTAGTTAGGAAAAACTCAAAATGTTGGATGAGTTGGTGAAAAATCAGAGCAGTCCCATTGATTTAATTGGGACTGCTTGCTCTGGGTAAGGTAAAGTGTGAGGCATTGTAATGTTGGTGTTAGTGGATGACATGCCACAGAAGTCAGTGGAAGTGTGCCTGGTTACGCCAGATCTGAATTTAGCTGCTGTAGGTTGTAGAATAGACTAGAGTGCTTTAAATTTATAGGGCTGGCAATGAGTTTGGTACCATTCACTGGATTTTTAGCTAAAACAATGAGGAAGCCCTTAGCATCTTAAAGGCTAACAGATTTATTTGGGCAAACCCCATTTCATCTGATGAATGATTCTTAGTTGTAATTCTTGTACTTCTGTACTGTCAAAGGAATATTTACCAGTGTCCAAAGCTATGGGCTAGGAGTCAGGAGACCTGCATTTTATTCATGGCTTGGTTGCTGATTTATTGTAGATGAGTCATTTAATCTTTCCTTGACTCAGTTTCTCCATGTTTCAAATGGGGCTTAACCAGCCCAGCATTGTGAAATCCTTTGCTTTGGTTGGATCAGCGATGCTCTGAAGAGGCAAAGCAAATGATGGGTATCACCCTGCTCATTGCAAACAAAAGGGGTTGTATTGTGCTTTTTCCAGATAGAAAATCTTTTTAGAGAGGGAGGCTGGATGAAGATTTCTCCCCATTTCTTTTGATTGTTCTGGTCACAGTGAAAGATTGTGCAGTTTTCGAAAGTCACCAGGAAGAATGTGACCCTGAGCAGGACAATCATTCTCTTTGCCTAGTGGGATCAGGACTGGAGTGAAGAGAAACCCAAGTTGTTGGGAGACTCCCCCTTTCTTTCTCGACAGCAAGTTGCTGTTTTTCTCGGAGTTGAGTAATTAGCTCCACAGACTGCCCCGTGTCACATGTAGGAGCTTGGCTCCAAAAGTCTGCACGTCGGGGGAAGCCCCCAAAGTTTGTGCTGAGGCAGAAACACGCACAGCGGGCAAGAGACACGACTGGATCTTGACCTCTCAACACAAAGGCTCGCCGCTGAATGGTTTGTTCTTGCGGCGCCCTGGGTTGTCTTCAGCCGGAGCCACCGGGACCTCAGAGCCACACGCCCCTTTGCTGTCTCTTCTGCATCCTCAGCTGCCTGCAGCCCGGCCCAGGAGCCGCTGCTGGGGTTGTTGCCGGGAGACTTGCGAGCGCTCAGCTGAGAGGGGCTGGCAAACGCCAGCGCTGGGGGCGCTTCCTCGTCTGCGAGGGCGAAGCAACTTTCCCTGCGCTTCCCGACTTGGAGCCAGCTCCGGCCAGTGACCTTTGCGGGCTGCGGCCGGGCGCGGAGGGCAGGAAGGCCGGGGAGGGAGAGGAGGAAACCTGCAGGAGGCGGAGAGGCGGCGCTGGGCAGGAACCCGGGGGGGGGCTGCTGCGGCCGGAGGAGCAGGCGGGCGCCGGGCTCGGACCCGCGTGTTGGACCACAGCCCCGCGGGCCCTGCCGGGCGCCGCCCGCGCCAAGGGAATTCCCCTTCTCCGCGCTCCCCAAACACCTTCCCCGACCCTGGTGTCGAGGGGAGACGAGCGGATCCCTCCCCACTTGCCTCCCCTCTCCTGCCTGCAGCGGGCTCCGGATGGGGCCCACAAGCCAGAGCAGCCCACCCGCTGCGGGCCCGATCCAGCCCGGGGACTCCCGGGAGGCGCTGGGCGCCCGGCTGGGCTTGGAAGCTGCCCGGAGCGGAGTCCGTGGCTGCTTGGAGTGCGCGGAGCGCAGAGGCAGGCAGGGGACGCGGGAGGATGCCAGCGCGGGCTGACTCTGAACTAGCCTCCTTCTCTTCCAGCGAGCCACGGTGGCTCGTCCCTTCCTCTCCGAGCGTGCCGCGTGCATGGGCCGAGCGGCTCCCTAGAAATCTGTGCAGGGAGATGCTCAACTCCCCTGCAAACGCCCACGCAGCAGGTGCTGAAAGCGCTCGGGTGGCGCTTCCAAAGTGCAGCCCCATCACAGGACAGCCACCCGCCTTCACGTGGTCCTGTCCCACAGCCTCGGCTCACCCCGGCAGCCTCTATCCCCGCTCGGAAATTGCCTGAGTCTGGGAAGGTTGCGGGAGTCAGATCCGTTTGCTGTGGCTGCCCACAGATATCGATCTAGCTCTGATGAGGAATTCTGTAATGCGAACGGAACCAGCCTGGCAAATGCTTTGGTTTACTCAGCACAGCCAACAGATTATACATGCTACATGAGGCCACTCTCTTGAGCAAATAACTGCAAGAGAAACAGATCTTTTGTAAAGTACACACTGTCTGGGCCTGAAAGTCAGATGGCATTTGAATTCCATTTCCAAACTGAGCAAAGCCAGAGAGGATTTGCAGCAAGCCATCGAGCATAAAGAAATCCTTTCATATTCAATATGGGGGAAAGTAATGAGTTTAAAGAAAAAAGAAACTTTCTGGACTGGGATAGATTCTGACCTCATTCTGCATTTACATTTGTATAACTCTACTAAGTTCCTAATTTAAATTGGCATAAATAACATTAGATCCCGAACTTATCATAGCCAAGAGGACTATTTCCATTGGCTTCCATGAACTTTGGACCTTTTCTTGAGGTCTCAACTCTGCTGCCCTTTCTCATGTGAGTTGTTCCAATAAAACCAACAGGAAAACTTGTACAAGTCAGATTTACTCATGTGAGTAATGTTTACAAGATCAGACCGGTAGGTTCCTGTTAGACTGCTCAAATATTAGCCTTTGCTTATGCTGTAAGTTGTACCTTAACATTTATTAAGAGTCACAATTCAAAATATAACAATATAATAAAATACCCAGGGCACAACATTTAAAAAAAATTATGTCACTTAACATTTTCTCTTTGGCAATGACAGAGTGATATTTCCCCCAGATTTATTTACTACTTATTGCAAGAAAATCAGAAAGCTTCAATTTTTAAACAAGGCTGTGCTGATTACAGGCTATTAAAATCTGAATGCTTTGATATGGTGAACTAGGTCTAAACTTGCTGTAACTGTTTAAATTAAGTATTCATGGAATGTTGGTCACTCCCTCCATGCTATCTTGAGCAATTGGCTTTGGGGATATGGAGAGAATTAAAAAAGGGCTGAAGTTCTCTCCATGAAAATATCCTACCAGTGTTTGATTATGGAGTAGTCTGACTGGGGATGTTCTCAAGGCCGGATTTCGGCAGTCCCTGCACACACCAGTAGCTGATTAAAATCTGTGGGTGGAATTGCTTGTAAGAGCAGGGTTTGGTCTGTAATCAGACAATGGACTGGATTTTGGCCAGGATGGAGCTTTTCTACTGTCTCCATCCTATCTCCTTATTGTAATAGGATGTGATACAAATCTAAATATTGTTCAACTCAATATGTGAATGTAGGCTGCTGAATGTCAGGTAAGTTTACCTTAGACCTGTACCTCTTTGAAATAGCTCTCTCTTTAGTTGAAGCCATGGACTAGAATATACTGTGAGGCGCAATTCTGGTAGAGCAATTAAGTCTCTGAGCAGAGAAGTCTCCCTGTCACACTTCTCCAGTTCTATCATGACATGAGACAATGGGCCAAATTCTTGTGCCTTAATTGACATCAGTGGAATATCATGGATATAACTGAAGAAAGAATCTGGCCTGCTGGCTTCTGTGTTTGTTGCTTTCTGAAGACCTAGCTTTATTACATATTGCTAGCTGGGCTGAGGATGGCAGCTCTGTTGATTAGTGAGTTTGCATGCAGTGCACCCCTGGTGAGTGAATAGATTTTAAGAAATGTTGTTTTAGCCCATTTATCTTGGTTAGTTTGCTCATATGACAGCCCTTTTTATTAGAAGAAAGACCTGGTGTGAAGTCCTCCAGCAAGAGTGACAATCTACTATTATTGTAGCATACACATTGTTTGTTTGAATTAAGGGGTTTCATACAGTCCAATGCAACAGTAGAATTCTCCCTTCTGGAATCCAGGGAGCAGATGGGGAAAAGCTGCCTCATATGTAAAGAGGAAGAAGCAGGTGCATGGGTTTTTTTAAAAAAAGTGTGCGCGCGTGTGCGCACGCAAACAAAGCACATAAAAAGATGGTATTGTCTAAGCATGAAAATTGCACAATGATGTATGAACATTTGAAAACATTGGGTGAAATTCCAGCCCCATTGAAGTCTGTAGGCATCTTGCCATTGACTTCAATGCAGCCAGCATCTCACACAGTGGCTGTGAAAACTGAAGCTGAACTTTTTCAACTTTATTACCATGGGGATTAACTGGCCTTGGTAGTATTGCATAGGCCATGTTATCCACCATCATGGACTGGGGAATATGTAGCTAAAAGCAGGGAGACTTACTATTTATCCAAGAAATAACCATTCTTTCTGGTTTGCATGCCTCTTTTTCATAAGTTTCTTTATCCTACATAGTGTTTTATCCTGTATGGTACAGGGCTGGTCAAAATGTTTTGAACATTTTTTATTTTTGATGGAAAAATGGATTTTTAGTCAAAGTCCCTTTTTTCCTCTGTCTCTAATCATTTTTAAAACTGATAAAACAAAGAAAAATAGAAAGAGGAGTAAAAGACAAGAAGAAGAAAATTAAAATAAATGAATGAAAAAATTGGGAGGAAGAAAATTTCACGGAAAAAATGTAAATATAACACAAGACGAGTTCACTTTGAAACGTGTGAAAGAAAAACAAACTGGAATTTTTTGCACAATTTTTTTAACCAGATCTAGCTCTGAGGGTCCTCAAACTCTTGGTGATTTCACTGGGATCGTTTAGTTCAGCAACTCCAAAACCTGGATCCGTAGTTCTTTTGATTAGATCAACTCTATCCTACTGTCCAAGTTCTCCTATTCAACTGTCTAATAATTACTTTTCCCAGGACTCTTTTTATAAGGTTTCTGTGCCATTGAGAAATTGATAGCATTCATTATTTGCTTTTTCCTAAGAGAAAGTGTGTATGTGGGTAGGATAATTGCATTTTAATTTTCTTTACCTTGTCGTAGAGTGGACCCAGAATATGACCTGGACATGGAACTCAATATTGCTGTTGGTTAGCCAGAAGCATGTTCGCTATAGCTGCCTGAGAACTAAACATTCTGCTTCCACAATGACTTCCCCCACTCCCCAGCTCCCTGCTAACTCGAGCTATGAGTGACCCATAGTGGCAGACTGCCAGCTGTATTTCAGTTTCTGACTTTTAGATTTCCTCTTAAGGGTTTGTCTTATATGTTAGGACTTTTGAAGTGAAAGATGAGCCCAGCAGATATATGGATCTGTGGGCATAGTAACAACATAGGCATTTGGAACCCGTCTTTTTAAAAATGTGGCTCTTGAATTCTTATTGCTGAATTACAGTCTGAAGAACAGAGGTTTATTTTTCTGCTTGTCATTGATGCTTTGGACACATTTTTTTAGTAAGGACCCTTAATTCTCTTTTAATTGACAGATTATCTGCAGATTTGTTCTTTTACATTTTATGATCCATAAACTCGTTATTAATGCCAGAAGGTGACTTTTAACAAACATTGCAGAGCATGCCAGTGGCATGTGAAATAACGTTGTGGGTCTTGATGTGATAATTGATGTGCACTGATCATATCTGAAACCCATCACAACTTCTCTGCAATGAGTGTTACTGTTTTCTGCTCAGAAAAGGCTTGCACATGTACAAGCTGAGTAATGTAACCTCTTGTCACTTTTTGTGTGGGGAACCCTCCTGCTCAAGACATTGTCCACAGAAGTTTTGTGATCAAAATGCGCTGCCTGCTGGCTACCACAGACTCCACTGCCATCCTCATCACTCTGTTGTTCCTCCTCTGACCATTGAAATGAAAGAGGAGTCAAGTGGCATTATTGACTTTTTTTTTTAATGATGCCCTTGAAAAAACATTTCCTAGATACCTGCTAGTGAATGATGGATTTGGCCTAGGTTTGGTCCTCACCTCTTCACGTACTGGCACAATGAATTTATGGATCATTTCCCCCTTATTGTTATCCCATAAAAAGAGGTGCTGGTGCAAGCTGCACACAAAGTCTGTCCAGATCTCCTGTAGAGATTCTTCCCTTGGATCTGCATCCCAAGGACTCTGCCTTTGCACCTTCTGGTCCATGCCAGAAATGACAAGGGAAGAAGGGATTGAAGATTAGACTCAAACACCAATCCCCTGGTGTTTCAATAGGGTACTTTGGCTTGGTATTGGTTGCTTGTGTTGCCCTTACTCATCTGAGTTGTCACTTCACCTTCCCCTGCTCACCAGATCGCTGGCAGCTCATGTAGGGAGGGACCCACTCTAGGATTCGAACATGCGTGGCACCCACCTGCTGTGGTTCAGTTTTTAAATGCTATTGAGTTTTAGGACTGCACTGTAGAATTTCATATTCATTTGGCTTTCAGGGTCAAAGGCAGGTTCTGTGGAAGTGGTCGGGGCATGCACATTTTGGTGGGCGCATTCACAGGAATATGAGTCTGTTCACACGAGTAGAATGTGCAGGATCAGGCTTTTATCAGAGTGCCTATCAGTGAAC